TTTTTTTTTTTTCTTAAGTAGGCTTCATGCCCAGCATGGAGCCCGATGCGGGGCTTGAAATCAGGACCCCGAGACCACAACCTGAGCTGAGATCAAGAGTCAGAGTGAGCCACCCAGGCGCCCCTGGTTTTACCTCTAAACTCAAGATAAGGCCATCCTGTTATCTCACTCATGGTATCCATCAATGTGAGCAGTAATGCCTGGACAGCTTTCAGAAATACGAGGAGACTCACCGAGGTCTGTAGACACTTTCTCAAACTGGCTGAGTATAGCACCTGCATTTGCTGACAAGAAGGCCTCATCATCTGCGGTCAGCTAAACAAAACAAAACAAAACAAAACAAAGCCCGAGAGAGCGGATTCGAATGTTAACAAGAGGTTCTAGGAACCACCTTTAAGAATGTCTCAGGACCACAAACTAGATCACAGCTCACAAAGTTCTATACCAAATACTTTGTACCTTTTCTTTATACCTAATATATTAAATTAAATATAGGTACCTTCTCTCCAAGTTTCCTGAGAGCTGTTAGTATCTCCACTTTCTGTTGAGTGTACAGGCCTCTTTCCAGCTTTCCTACCATGAGATCTCTATCCATCTGAAATGGATGAATGCAAAGAATATGGTACTTAAGTTAAAAACATTGTGTCCAGGGCGCCTGGGCGGCTCAGTCTGTTAAGCATCTGACTCTGGCTCAGGTCATGATTCACAGTTCATGAGTTTGAGCCCCATGTGGGGCTCTTTACTGTCAGTGCAGGGCCCACTTCAGATCCTCTACCCCTGCTCGTGCTTGTTCTCGCTCTCTCAAAAATAAATAAACATTAAAAAACAAAACAAAACATTTTATCCATAAAATCCAGATTTTCAGATCTACTTTTTTTGAGAGCGAGTGAGCAGGGGAGGGGAGGAGAGAGAGGAGGAGAGAGAATCCCAAGCAGACTCTGCACTGTGAGCGCAGAGCCCAATGCAGGGCTCGAACCCACTAACTGCGAGATCACGGCCCAAGCCAAAATCAAGAGTAGGCTGCTTAAGCAGGCGCCCCCAGATCTACTTCTTCTTAAAGAAAAAAGATCCTCTAGCTGATTATTATAAAGAACTATAGAATCAATTCAAGGCAAACATGTCAGAAATACAGTTACACGGTTCTAATAAATCTTTTAAGATTTTATTTTTTAAGTAATCTCTATATCCAACATGGGGCTCGAACTCACAACCCGAAGATCAAGAGTCACATGCTCCACCGACTGAGCCACTCAGGCACCCCTCAGTTCTAATAAATCTTAATGCTAATCATAACCACTGCCTTGATTATAAACTTTACTGAGGAACTGGTAGGTCAACACCTTCCTTTAGAGAGAAACTATCCTTCAAGCACTCATTCCCTTAAACTGAAGTGTGGTCTATAGGCTTGAATGAGATAACTGGTATCAGGTCTCCAGGAATGTTGGTTAAATATCACCTCTATCACCAGAAACACTGATAGCCTATAGTATGCCTGGGTACTATTCCATGTGCTTTACACACATTACATGTTACACATAGTATGTGCTTTACGCATATTATTTCATTTAGTCCTTATAACAACCTTAAGAGGTAGGAACTACTATTATCACCTTTTTATAGACGGGGAAACTGAGGCACAAATAGGTTGAATAACATAACTTATTCAACTTCAATAATAATAGTAGTAATATTTACTAAAAAGTTTATTGGGGCACCTGGGTGGCTCAGTTGGTTAAACTTCCAACTTCGGCACAGGTCATGACCTCACAGTTCGTGAGTTTGAGCCCCGTGTCGGGCTCTGTGCTGATAGCTGAGCCTGGAGCCTGCTTTGATTCTGTATCTCCCTCTCTCTCTCTGCCCCCCCCCCATTCACGCTCTGTCTCTCTCTCAAAAATAAACAAACAAAACATTATTAATTGTGTTAAAAACTATTAAAAGTAACTTCCCTAAGGTCACATACCTCCACCATAGAGCAGGGATACAAATCCTGCCAGTCTGACCCAAGTCCACGCTATGCTACTGAATTATCAGTGGTTGTAAATCACTTGTTAATGCCTTAATTATATTCAAGTCTATAAACAGACTTTCTCAAATCCAGGTTTATAGAGATGTTTGAAATTCTTAGATGAGAAAGGCTACATGCACAAAAAGCAAAGCTGCTAATGAATTCTAGATGGAATTTCAACTCGGCTTCAGAAATAAATGGTAAAACCTTAAAGTTGGGGTTCGAGTAGAAGCAGTTAGTAGCAATTTAAACTGCCATATGCTGTTTACACCTCTATATTCAATAATTGCTCAAAAGACTAATTTTGTCAGAAAACTGTGGGTTGTGGCTCTCAAATCAACTGATCAATTTTTTTTTTTTGGTAGCTGACTATTTTCTAGAGCAGTTTCAGGTTCACAGCAAATTGTGTAAACATACAAAAATTTCCCGTATCCTCCCTGCCCCCCACTCATGCACAGCCTCCCCATGATTTTTCATCATCCACCAGAGTGGCTCACTGACACCACACAATCCCCCCAAGTCCACAGTCTATACATTAGGATTCACTCTTGGTGGTGGTGTACATTCTCAACTGACCAATTTTTAAACCTCAGACGAACATAATGAGCAAATTCTGGAGCTGAGAAAAAAATACGCACAGCAATTAAATCAATGTAAAGAAATTTTACCTCCGCTAACCTTGTCCGAAGTTGACCTGGTTGTTTCTTTGCAAATAATCTGATGACCTCTGGGGTTTTAAAGGCCTGGCTGATAGCTGCCTGGATAGCCTAGGATATAAGAAGGTAAAAACTAAGCCAAATATTCCAATGAATCAGACATTACAGTAATTGACTGATGAATTTTCAATTACTAACAGGTCATCTTTGTTCATCAAACACCGTTATAATTTTAGTTTCCGTTTGCTATGCTGTTGTATTGATAAGCAGACACTCATCTGGAAGTTAAACCCCAAAAAAGGGTTTATCTTAAATATACTTATAAAAAAAAGGGGAAAAAGACAAACTGTGTCACTAGTGTAAGTAAATTATGCTCACCAGTTGCATTCCACTGAGCTCATCTACCAAAGTCATATTTCCAGACATGATTTTCTTCAGTGAATCATTAAATTCACTTAGTTGCTCCAGAGTTTCCTTTTTGGTTTCTTCATATTCATCTGTATCAAGTTCCTCTCTGAAGTACAGCAAACATAGAAAAACAGAGTTCTAAGTGAAAAAAAAGCAATCTTATATTTGGACTCTAAGACTTCAGATACATATATTTACAAAAAATATACTGAGGGACAAGGCTGAAAGGAAACAACAAAATGCTAATAACGGATGTGTTCAGATGTTAGTCTGATACAGGCGCTTTCCTGCAATGTGGTTACCTTGATAATTAACCATTTTTCTTTTACCAAAATGAGGCACACTTAACAAACCACATAATAACTTCCTTTTAAGCACTCTACGAATCAATGCATAACCTTGGGCAAGACACTTAACACAGCTGAGTCTCATTTTCTTGATCTATAAGCCACAGATAATGATAGTACTACCTTACAGGGCTGCTACGAGCATTAAATGAAATATAGAAAGTGCTTGACACACAACAGGGCTTGACAAAGCAGCCATTTCATTTATGACCATCATTGATGGTAGATAAAATTCTGTGCACCTTGAAATACAATAGCAATGCACCACCTATCGTCTGCGAACGAGGCTATTTTTATTCACTACTCGAACAAGCCATTTATTAAACATTCACTACAAATTCAACGACAGCTACCACTTATTGAGCATCGGCTCTGGGCCAAGTATTGTTTTGGCCCCTTGACTTGAAATATTTACAACAACCTTTCAAAGTAGTTAAAAAAGGCAATGAACGCTTTTGGTCCTTGGAACAGTTGAAGTTGAAAAGACACTAGAAGTTCAAGTGGTATCTTCTCAGCTTGATACCAAGCAGGCCTATTTTAAACACCAAAGAGAAGGTAGGTGTTAGTTATTATTTTCACTTCACACTCAGGGAAATGGAAACTTAAGGGGGTTACCTTTATGACTCCAAGGCTCGCCCTGAGTTTATTTCTCCAACAGACAAAGCACTGTGAAGAACACTACAGGGGAAACCAAAATCATACAGGTGCCTGCACCCAGAGCTTGTAATCTAGCTGCAGAAAAAAGCCACTGGACTGCATAGCAGCATTCAGTTACTCTCACCTGCATTCCTCCAGATCTTGTAATTGCTGCATTAGTCTATCCAACTGTTCTTCTAAATTCTGCTTTAATTTGCTTGTCTCTGTCTTTCCTCTGGAAGCCATTTTGATCTCTAGGAAGAACAATAAGCCCACATACAGTATATATTTGGTTATTTGAAATGATTCCACGTTCCAGTGCAATTCACAATGGGCTATGTTCATTCTGAGCTACAGGTGTGGGAAAGAGAGTTGTGCAAAGAGAATTGCATTTTAGGTATAGAAGTTTAAACTCCTATACTAGTAACACCCCACAAGAATGCCTGGCAGTCTTCTTACCTGACTTGACAACTTAATTAAAAGTCTTCACTATTGGTCCATCTTACTTTAAACAGATTTGATAGTTAAAAACACAATCTTTTAAAAATGTTTATTTATTTTTGAGGGAGAGAGCAGACGCGTGAGCAGGGAGGGGCAGAGAGAGGGGGACAGAGGATCCAAAGCGGATGACAGCAGTGAGCCGGGTGTAGGGCTCAAACTCATGAACCATGAGATCATGACCTAAGCCGAAGTTGGATGTTCAACCAACTGGGCCACCCAGGCACCCCTGAAAACACA